CAGGGCCAGTATTGCCATCAGCCCCTAAAATGCCGCAAGACAGCATGCTTTTCTTGCATCTAGCTCACTGAAAAGCTGGACTGACACTGAGACAGGTGGTCAAGGGAGCTGACATGCAGAGCATCAGTCCAATTTGCAAAGACTTAAAGATATCTTCGGATCCTGTTGTTTCCAGTATTGTGTTTCTCAACATAGTGCAATTGTTGATGGTGTGTGTTGATGCGGAACGTCGCGCAAAACACCTGCCGTCCATCCACATTCGAAGAAACTGTCAAGATCTGCAAAGCGTATGTTTGCATCATCATCATCATCATCATCATCATCATCATCGTCATCGTCATCGTCATCGTCATCATCATCATCATCATCATCATCATCATCATCATCATCATCATCATCATCATCATCATCATCATCATCATCATCATCATCATCATCATCAATCATCATAATCATCATCATCATCATCATCATCATCATCATCATCATCATCGTCATCGTCATCATCATCATCACCATCATCGTCATCATCATCATCATCATCATAAGCCCAAGGCAATCTATGGATTTCTGCCGGAAAAGGACTCGCAATCTGGAGAAGTGGTTCGCGTTGTTTGCCTGGAGCCACTACTGTTTCTTTCATGGGATTGCCGCTGGCGTGCACAGATGCATATGCAAAAAGAGAGGCATCTTCACTTGGCGACGGCTTCTTTATTCCAGGGCTGAAAATTGTTGACGTCTATTTGGAGTCAATCCTCGGCCTTCGCATGTGGGGGCTGATCAGAAGGTCATGTACACGGGACCATGGGGGGGAAACCCAACAGATGATATTCCCTAACGAGAAGAGTCACCCATCTTTTGGGGGACATGAACATTGATCACCGCTCATTTGCATTCTGTGCATGTTTTTGGACCTAAAATCCCTAAATGATGTCCACCAAAGGGTCCTCATGGGGGCTGGGGAGGGAGGAGAGGGGGGAGGGAGCCCAAATAAGCCCTTATTAAACCTTAATAAGGCCTTATTTAGTGCTTATTTGGGCTCCCTCCCCCCCCCCCTCCCTCCCCAGCCCCCATGAGTTCCGGCACGTAAAATTCAACCCAATGACAGACCCAAGGACACCCAGGACCTTAAATGGTGGGTCATAACCTGTACCTCCATTTTGGGGCGGGTGAACATGTACCACCTATTTTGATGTTCACAGGGTACAGGGTTTGGAGGTTTTGACCCACAGCCAAATTTGTGGGGGACCCCATAAGTATGGTGGACACTTAGTCTATTTTGCAACCTCCTTCTTGTAGGGTATTGGTTTGTTTTAGGGTATGGTTGCAAAATAAACTCTAGGTGTCCATGGCACGGACCGAACCCCGCTTTGGAGAACCCATTATTTCCCCAGACGATCCGCGATCCCACGAGAAAAAACACGCGAGAGGTACGCCGGGAGATCGAGGCGAAGAGCACCCTGGCGCCGCCGCCAGGCCGCGGAGTGAGTGAGGGGAGTCCATGTGGCTGTGGTTATCAAAAACCGTTTTGGGATCCCATTTTGGTAGGTGAATTCACCACCCCCAAACAATGGGCATGTCAGATAGCAGCCAAAGAAGTCGACCACACATGCCACTGATGGACGAAGGCCTCTTGGGCACCACCTAAGAAGCCCGACGGTTTCTGATGATTCCCCTACCAACAAGCAATGGCTTCGACCATGGTTTCATTTCGTGGTGCCTAAGCGGATTTCGCAACCATCCACAGTGTGGCCTTTGGAAATGGCGGGTTTCCTTCCGGTGTCCCTTTGAAACCTACCGACAAAAATGGGTGTGGGTCCAAAAGAGGTACCCAACACGGCGCAAGCCCTGGTAAAGGGAACTGGGGAGAAAACACCAGTCTGGTGGCTGAAATTTTGTTGACGCATACCGCATACCCAGTAGAGACTGCTCTTCGGTCGAGAAATGAAAAAAAATGGGGCGAAAAGCTGGGGGCTTGGAGCTGCAGATATGGGGTGCCCTTGAGACGAAAGGCGCAACAAATTCTGCCGATTTCTGCGCGGCTTCGCACTATCGGAGTTGTTTGTAAGGTTCTGCTGAGTGCTTGAACGGAAGCCTTGCGCGTAGATTTCCGGTCCGAGTGAGGGACCCACCCCTTTGATCTGGTTTCGAAATGAACTTTAGCAGGAAGGTTTCTTCGGGGGTGCGGACCAACATGGAACGCACAGTTCCACTCAGAGCTCCGAGCCCTTTTTTTGCATGAAGCCCGAAAATCACACCCTCCATCCGTTTTTGATGAAAAGTCGCACCGTGCTTAGCGCCGACGGCTTGGATCTCGCAGGCTACCTGAACCTTCCGGCCCCGCCGGCGCCGGGCAGCGTTGGAGGCGCGGGAGCACCGAAAGCTCGGGCCTATGAAGCGAAGGTGCGTGGCTTGAGGCAACTTCGGACTTGGACATGGCAAAGATCATTGACGTGTCTGCGTGTGTGCTAGTGTTATTAGTTATTAGTATGTGTGTGTGTCTAGTTTAGCTTCAGACAGGTGGGTGTCCTCTTCTCAGCTGTGCAGGCACCACTTTGCTGTCGCTGCCTCCACCCATGCGCTAAGCTTAGCCATCAAGTCTGCTCGCCTTTGCGCATGCTTTGGTTTCACCCAAGCCGGAGCTGAGTGCTGGTTGCTTCAAGCGCATGGCTTTCGCCAATGGTACAAATGAAAGGCAAGGTATCGGAGCTGCGCGGCTCAGGCGGCAGGTGCTGTGTGATCCTGTCAGGATGACGCCTTCCTGGCCCCCAAGAGTATGTTGAGATAACTTGTGCGGCTAAGCCGACAAAACCTGGATGACATGTCCTCCATGGGGATGCAACTGCTATTGACCCAACTTGGCATCAGGATGGCCTTGCCGCCACCGCAGCCGAGTAGCCGCTTGGCTTGACTGGGGAGGAGGTTTGATTTGACACAAGGTGAATCAAGGCGAGCCATGATGAATCGCCCTCATGACAACCTTGCAATACACGCTGATGAGTCCCATGCATTCTGGATTCGCTTTTGCATCAGTCCTCTACGCGCTTTGGTGCTTGACTGCATGTGCCGCCTTCATTGTCTTCTCTCTTTGCACGACACTGTTGCGGGCCATAGGTCGGTGGAACACCGCTCGAAGCAGCCTTGGCCGAGCTTGGCCAATCGGATCTCTTTCGCCTCAATGCCTCCCGGCTCAAAGCTTGCCCAGTCCTCACAACTCCGGCACGAGCATTGGCCATGCCGAAAGAAGTTGAAGGAGAGAACCAGGCAGCGCTGGATACGGACTTGAGCCTGAGCGCCCTCTTTAAGGTGGAAGGCGGAGCCGGGCTTCATGTAAACTGGCTTGCAGGGAGTCTTGGGCATGCGAACTTCCCAGCGGGAAGTTCACCCTGTGCCGGGAAGCCACGCTGGGGTTGTCCTTGCATAGGTGCGCAATTTGAGCTCGAAGCCAAGAAATAGCATAGCAGCCTCAGGGAAGGCTGAAATGGTGAGGCTCAGTCGGCTCAGTGCAGCTCAATCATGGTGAGTCTCAATCAAAAGAGCGCCGTAGGGATACATGCTCAGACATTCAGGCAGCGCAGCAATTAGGTCTTCCAGGCGGAGGGCTGGATGTCGTAGTAACTCTGGATAGTCCTTGTCCTTATAAGACCCTGGAACGGGGACAGCTGCATACTAGCATCTCCACGACGATCCGCAGTTGGAGCCCGTTCAAAGTCAGATTTCAACAAGAACGCATCACGCATTCGCGGCAGGCGCACACAAGTACACACACACAGAAACCATGTAACAATGCACACACACACACACAATGTCACATAATTGACACGTAACCCACCGCCTATGTGCCCCCACCCGGCACCCCATTTGCACCCCCACCCAGGTTTACACCTACACCTACATATGCTCTGCAAGCAGACGATTGTTTGCCATGTTGAACAGTTGCTTTTTGATGTGGCCATGGGTCAAAAGCCTGTACCCCCAGTGAACATCCCAATCCCCACTAAAATAGAAAATGGGATCCCATTGGTTTTCACCCGCAGCTATGTGGGTTCAACTCGCTTTCCATGTCAATCGCACAGGCAAGGTGGTGCTGGTCAGCGGCGGAGGCTCCGGCATCGGGGCCATGATCGCCGCGGGCTTCGTTCAGAACGGGTGCAAGGTCTACATCGCCTCCCGCGCCTCGTGTTGCGATTCGCGGGTTTCGCGATTCGTGCCGATGTCGGGTGTGACGCAAAACGAGGGCCGGGGTTTGAGCTGTGAGTCTCCAACTCAAGAATGGTACCCTGAAAAAAAAGAGGCCCTGAGGTTTTTCTTTGTTCCCAGCCAAGTTGAGTGGAGTCTACCTCCTTTTTTGTGCATCCTGCTTGGTGGGATGTGCCTTTGAGATCAACCAACAACAAAAAGTCTTCTTCAGCCATCCTTTTTGGAATGGTAGGGTTGCAACACCAATTGACAGGTTCCCAAACAAGCACAAAGCTCAGTTGCGCTTCGTAATTCACCGCAGACTCGCAGCACTTGTCCTCTGGAAAAAATCACCCGTATGGGAGAGTCAGCCGATCTAGCTTTGTCATTTTTTTGAGGAAAGCACCCGAATATGGGTGCTTTCCACGGATTTCCCAGGCCGAAAAGGAGTAGGTCAAAAAAGGGCACACCATCTGGCTACCTGGAGTCAACTAATCGGCACCTGGAGTCAACTACTCGGCACCCGCCGAGCCCGAGCTGTTTTCTGGGAGGCAAAGACACCTCGAAGTATGCGGCGGAGCTGACCGCGAAGGGCCCCGGCAGCTGCGCGGCGCTGGTGTGCGACATCAGCAAGTATGATCAGCAGCAGGGCCTCATTGACGCCATTCAGAAGGCGGAGGGGCCAGAACTTTGGTTTGGCGTTCTTCAAGTCAAGCAAGGCCACCTTTGGAATGGCAGGGACGTGCGTGCTTGTAGTATTTGGGTGTCACTGGAGTTGAACTACACTCACACCAGGGACCTGAGCGAAAATGGAACTCTGGTGCCGGAAAGATCCTGGCCAGGCGGAGGGCAAGCTCCACATCTTGGTGAACAACAGCGGCACCAATTTCAACGCGCCCCTGGAGAAGTACACGCCGGAGGCCTTTGAGAAAGTGATGCAGCTCAACACCAACGCCCTCTTCGCGCTCACGCGGCTGGCGCTGCCCCTCTTGGAATCCTCCAGTTCCCACGAGGAGCCGCGAGAAATCGAGGCGTTTTGTTGCCTGCTGCAGGGCGCGCGATTGTCACGCCAACTGCTTTGGGACCTCCGGCGAAAAACTTTGCAGCCTCCGGCAAAGAGCCGGCAAAGAGCCGGCAGTTCGGCTCTTTGCCAAAAAAAACATAAGCGCTTGGATGACAAGGTGTGATTTGTACGTGCTAGTGCGCTCGCTCGCTGTTCCGTTTTAGCTTGTTTGCTTGTTTTTTAACTGTTTGCTTGAGTGCTTGCTTGCGTTCCCTGCCTGCCTGCCTGCCTGCCTGCCTGCCTGCCTGCCTGCTTGCTTGCTTGCTTGCTTGCTTGCTTGCTTGCTTGCTTGTTTGTGTTTGCTTGCTTGCTTGCTTGCTTGCTTGCTTGCTTGCTTGCTTGCTTGCTTGCTTGCTTGCTTGCTTGCTTGCTTGCTTCTTGCTTTCTTGCTTTCTTGCTTGCGGTTGATTAGCTGGTTGGTCGGCCGGCCGGCCGGCCGGTTGGTTGGTTGGTTGGTTGGCTTTGTTTGGTTGTGCTTGGTTTTGCTTGTTTGGTTTGGCTTACTTGGTTTTGCTTGCTTGGTTGTTGTTTGTTTGTTTGTTTGTTTGGTTTCTTTCTTTCTTTCTTTCTTTCTTTCTTTCGTTCTTTCTTTCTTTCTTTCTTTCTTTGTTTCTTTCTTTCTTTCTTTCTTTTTTTTTTTTTGTGTGTGTGTGTGTGTGATTTTGTGTTTCTGCTTGTGTAGTTGTGTGTTTTAGCGTGGTTGTGTGTTTTCTTTGCGTGTTTGCTTTTCCTGTGTGTGTGTGTGTGTGTTCGCCCGAAACCGTAGCGAATGTGCCCCTGTATTTGCAAGACTGACGCGGATTGTGCGAATGGCGGGGCTTTAGTGGTTGAACTATCATCTTTTCGGTGGTTTTTCCCAATGGTCATCCCATGTAAAGAACCTTTTGATCAATCCCCAAATGCATCAACACCTGGCACACCCTCTTGCTAGTGGCTGGTTGCGAAATCTTCGCACCACGAAAGGAGTTACCATGGTTGAAACCAGGTTGGTTGCGGTATTAACGTTAATCGAATCAACACCCAGCTCGGTCGATATGCTGCAGGACCCGGCTCGAGTTATCCACATTGCTTCAGTGAATGGTCTTCAACCACCCCTCATAGACACCTTCGCATACAGCGCCAGTTGCTAAGCTGGAAGGTCAGCATGTTTGATTGACCGAAGCAGGTTGACTGATTCGGTGTGTCTCCTTGTTTGGAGGGTTCGTTTTTTGGGTGGGTTGAAAGGGAAACCAGATAGACCTGGCAAATGGGGGGTGTCCCTTTTTTATGAGGTTTGCTTTTCGGGTTGAAGGGAAGCCAAACGGACACCACCCAAGGTATGGGTCAAAATTTTCAGGCACCATATGGACCGTGGGTTGTAGTCCTTGGTCCCAAATTTCCAGGGTGAGCCATTTTGGGGGTTAACACACACATTTGGGTTCATACATTTGGTTGCCATGGCTTGATTGCTTTCCCCTGGGTCAAGGGGGCGATTCGCCTCTTTGGGTCGAGGCAAGGCGGCGGTGGTGATGCTCTCCAAGCACCTGGCTGGGGCTTTGGGACCGAAGCACATCACCTCCAACTGCATCTGCCCTGGGCCCGCAGCTCAGTTGAGCCACGTGCTCAAAACCGATTCGGGTAGATATGGTAGATGAAGGTTAGTAAGGGATACTCTCCAGCCAGAAATAGTTGCGGATATCCGGCTTCTTAATTCTTGAAGCGTGGTTCTGGGTAGACCATTATAATACCAGGTTTTGATTGTGACTCAGTTGCTCAAAGCCGACTGAAGGGTCTGAAGGCTCCTGAGGTCGCTCAGTCTCTCGCCAAGTTGGGTCGAAACATGAAAACAATTGCCACAAGTTCAAGAATGAAGCGTGCGGGATGTTTTTCTCCAGTCTGGTTCACTTTGAGAAGAGGGAACGGCGTAACGGCGTTGGGACTGAGGCCCTTCATGTCCCGCATGATGCGGGGCACCATCAGCGTGGTGGGGGAGGACAACATCTCCAGCACCACCGCCCTGGCGCGGATGGGCCTTCCCGCGGACATCGCCGGCGCCTGTCTCTTCCTGTGCTCCAGGGCTGGTGCCTATGTAGCTCGGCGTGGAATGGCGTGGAGAGATTTTATCTGATCAGCTCAAGGGCTGAGAAGGAACCCCTCTTCTGCGGCCAGCTCTGGGTTGGAGCAGCCAACTCTGGGCTTGATTTTAGGGTGAACGTCGCTGAACCTGTTGATTTTTGGGGAGTTGAACTTGTTGACCGGTTGAAGATGTGCTCTAAACGCGCGCGCGGCTCGGATCTCTCAGGTGACAGGCACAGACTTTGCGCTGGATGGGGGCTCGCTGGTGTGCCGTGCGCCGAAGAGCAGCTACTGAAAAGGGGCGCTGCAAAAGGTGAAGGGCTGGCTGCGTTTGGTCCGGCAGGTTGGGCGGTTATGGCATGCAAAGCCGCATGCAAAAGAGACCTCAGAGATCTAAGCCAAGGGGTGTGCAAGGCGATGTGTTAGAATCCGCTACTTTGGGCAGATTCTCTTTCGGCTTCATGGATTGATCATGGCCGCTGGTTGATAGGTTTCAAGCTGGTTGATCCTCTGATTGCCCCCCCCCCCCACTCGCCAAGGTCAATTTGGCCCGCCACAGCCGCGGCTGCCCATGTGCGCAGATCCGTTGTTTTTTCTTATTTTTTTCCTCCCCCTTTTTCTTCTTCTTTTTGTTTGTTTGTTTGTTTGTTTGTTTGGTTGTTGTTCTTCTTCTTTTTCTTTTATTTTCCTCCCTTCTCTGTTTTTGTGGGTTGCAAGGCTAGGGCTGGGGAAAGATGCTGAAAGGTCTTCTGCGGGTGAGTTGTTGCCAGTCCAGGGATCGATCCATTGGCTTGCCGAAAAAGAATAACAAAGAAACCTTTTGGGTTCCCCGGAGCAGTGGGCAGTGCGTAAAGGGGCCAAATTTGAAGGCATTGAGATGGCAGCAGTCTGAAAATGCATCTCCGAAACAGCTAGGAGTGATGCACTCAGGTCGGTTTCTTGTTGGATTCCATACGGCACCGAAGCAACACGGACCCCAATAATGGAAACACAGTATGAAACACAAATTTCCGGGAGCTGCTGTTTGCAGATGATACGACGGTGGTGGCAAAAAGCACCCGGACAGCGAAGAATGTACTTACAACTCATCGAAGGACAGTCAGCCTACTACCCCATGAGATTCAGCAGAACCAAATTGTGTGTGCACTGTACATTTCCTTATAGGGATAATCGAATTGCATTCGCAGCTGGTACCCCAATGAGAAGCGTCAATGAGTCCGTTTACCTTGGCATACAAATAGCCAAACAAGTCCATCCCCAAATGGAGATCAACCGAAGAATCTCAATGACCATTCAGAAACTGGAGCTTTTTTGGAAGCAAGCAGCTGTGCCGAAAAAGATAACCATATAGGCATATCATATAGGTGTACGACGCACCCTACAGCTTAGAATCCTTGGAACCAACGTTGGACACGTTCCAACTCAATGGATAAAGGCAGATTCTGCGTATGGAGATCACCTACAATTGACAGAGCTAACACAAGCCAGGAAGTCTGTCGCACGGCAAATGAAGCGATGGGAGGGGGCACAAATGCTCCGAATTACCAGAGGAAGGTTCGCCCACCCAGTATGAAAAAAGGCTTAAGCTCCTCAGTCACATCATAAGAAAACCCCGACACCCGCAACATCAGGTCGCATCTACGAACTCCAAAGTATCCAGAACAGTGGACCACAGAAGGGAGGGAAGGCCAAGACGATGGAGGCGAGAAACCATTTGCTCGAACAGTGATTAACTATGTCACGCGCAGAGACATATAAGACAACATATTCAACAGATGCCGGTTGCAAGAAGGCCTCCTTTTGACCGAAGCATTTGACCACATGCTGTCATAGCACCAACGTGTTTTACCAAGCAGACCTGTGGATGGACGAAATCCAAGTTTAATTTTGACCCATCACAGAGAAGGCGCACAACAAGTTTCTCACTATGCACTTTTTCCAAGATAGGATTAAACTAAGTATGACCTTGTCCACAATAAAGTTGACCAGTAAAACATATTAAGTTGTGAAGTTGGCACTCGGCCAGGGCCCAACTGCCGGGGATGCCGGGGCTGCCAGCGCTGCCGGGGCTGCCGCCGCTCCCCACGCTGAAGGCTTGCGTGCGCTTGCTTGCGCGCGAGGTTTGGGCTTGGAGCGGGCGCTTGGGGGATCTTGGGGGGGGGAGCGGTGAAGCCAAACCGTCTGTCTGTCTTTGGGCAGTAGCGGTTTTTACAGCGGGGGTGCTTTGGGGGGGGGCTCTTAGGGGGGTCTGTGGGGGGGTTCAGTTGTTTCGGGGTGATTTGGGGTGGCCCCTTTTATGCGGGGTGTGTTTCAAAGGAAATCATCAAGAAGACTGAAGCCCAATCTGGGGTCCGATTCCCAAAAGCAGAGACACCCACATGGTAGAATCGACAACGAGGGAGCTACTGCGATTCATGCTTGTGGAACATTTGGCAGGGATGATATTTGTTACAAGTGACAGAGTAGTCACAGGGATAGCCATCCTGCTTTGGTATCACGGTATCACAGACAGGTCTCCACCGCCATTTGGAGCCAAATGGCTCTTACAACTTCAGGTCTTTGGGGTGAATGGATGCTGGAATCCAACCTTCACCCACAAGTTCCCAACCATTGATTTCACTTGTCTATGTCCGGCTGTTCCCGTCTGATTCTTGGCAGGTGAAGTCTGGCAGTGCCAATGGTCTTTCATCCACTAGTAATCCATTCATCTCATTTTCAGTGCGATTGCCAGGCCGCAAACCCTGCGCTGGGCACCTTGCCGCCACCTCCAAAGTACCCGCAGCCGCCGGCGCCCGGCACCCAAGCACCGCAGTGGCTTGCCAACAATCAGGCATGAAAGGTGGCATGAAAGGCGATGCAGCCCAATCAGGAGCTGGAAGGTCATTTGGCCGTGGGAACCTAGGCTTGAATCACGTTCTGAGACACAAGCATAGTGACGGTGCATGAGACAAGAGCGTGATCTCTTGGAGATCACAGAACGGCAGGTGACAGGATGGCAACCATTGCAAGCTTGTTCCAGCCCAAACATCCAGCAGCACAGCCGTTGACATTGACAGAGTACGCGTTTCTGCTCGCAGTGTTGTTCTGCTCTTCGCATGAGCAACGTGTACAGACAGCCTTTGTATGTTAAATGCAGGCAGCATGCGTCAATTCACCAACGCAAGGTTGCCAGAAGAATCTTGTCCAGCAAATAATGTTGCCAGGGAGTGCGAACTCTAGTCTAAGTGCTAAGACAAATCTTGAAAATGGATTCGCAGCCCGTTTCAGGTTTTTGCGCGAGCAAATATGTCAAAGCCGCAGAGCCTCAAGAGATGTGCGGATTTTTCGGGGACAATATGGGTCTGTCGGCCTTTGGAGTTGGAACCCCCTCTTTGGGCGGTCTGTTTTTTGTTGGTTGAAACCATGGGAATGAAACCAGAACATGTTTACCTGATCACGTCGTTTCACGGGAGAGAGACACATCGGACACAAACAAATCTCAGGCGTGGCATGCGCAACAGCGGCAGCGGCCCCGCCGGTGGCCCCAGAACCTCGAGGGGTTCCAGCAGATGGCCTAGGCCGTCTGGCGATGAAAATTTGAGCAGATCACCTCACAAGTGGTCGGTGGACAAGAATATCCAACAAATTTGGATGTCCACTGAAAGGTCTCTAATTCAAATTCGCACCCATCGGAGATCCGAAGATTGAACCTCGGGTCTCATTGAAGCTTGTTTTCAACTCTTTGAACCACAGATGGAAAATCAAAATCGAACAGGCAGGATATTTGTGCGAGACCTATGCTCAAAGCTTTAAGCCAGACGAGAATGCCTTTGGACATGTGGAATCTTGGGAGTCATCTGGGGGTTGATCAAAATTGGGGGGTGGTTGGAAGGGAGCCAAGGAGCTGGGGGTATGAGGGAGCTAAGGAGCTGCCAGGAGTTCTGTAAGGACATGGTTGAGAAGGTCCTTTCCCTGCCCAACATAGACCAACCTCCATATAGCATGATGAGTCTGCGGCGGGTTTCCGCTGTCTGACGCGCCGACCTTGGAGTTCTCAAAAATTCTGCCTGGACATCCGGGGATGAGTCCAATCATTGCAGGGTCGCACCGGTTTGGATGCATTGAGTCCCACTTTGCTTGGTTACGTTGACCCGTTGAATCCGAGAAGTTCTTCAGAAAGAGAGGGCCCCCCACCAACTGGGTCCCAACCGCACCAAATTATTGCATATATATATATATGTGCATGTACATATTGCTATCTCATATGCTGCCTCCCCGCCAAACCAAAATCGCGTTCTTCGGTGTTTCATCCCAGCATCGGAATCTTGAGCCTCATCCACTCAGCGATTGGGAGCTGCGAAACAAGCATACGCAAAGTACACTTTGGCAGCTTCAACATAACATGCCTGCAACAGCTCCGTTATCGTGCGAAGCAAATATGCAACATGTATTTTTCGGAGTTTCCTGTCTCAATTGCTATTTGAAGTTGACGTCCAAATCAGCTATAAAGGTGCTCCATGTCCTTGCGCAGTTCCATTTGCATTCTAATTCAACTCTGTCAAAATAGTCTTTGGAAAATAATTTCTATTGATTTATGATGTTGTTTATCTAGTTTAATTTGTTGAACAATGTCAATAGTATTTGTAGACAATTCAATATGAGATCAGACCCAAACTAAACTATTTTGCAAGTTCAAAACAAATTCAACTTCAAGCAATTGCATTTCCGTATGCGTGCCAAAAAATAGGGAGAACAACTGTTGAAACTGCAAGTTGACATTAACATCAGCTGCAATTTCAACAGATTAATTGCCGTTGTCCAATTCCACGTGATTTAAGTAAGCACGCACCGAGCCAAGCGGAACGTGATTCAATCAACATAGTTCTGCTCCTTGGCAACAGAGCAGTAGGGTGCGATATTTTCAGCATTTGTCAGATCATCGTTCCTCCCCTCCAAAAAGCCAAACTGCGCAGTGCACGTCATTTTTTCCCCTTAACAATGAGGGTCAAGCTGGGCAGAACCTAGATCGAACGTTTCTGGACAAACTTAACATGTTTTTGGGCTGGACCCAAAATCCAAGATTGCACAGAGAGGTGTCTTGGGAATCTTGATCTTAGGCCACCCCGAAACCTGAAGGTGCTTGGACAAAGCCCCACATGTTGCGCAACAGGTCAGAGGCTCTCAGCTTGGTTCGCACATGTTGCGTAACGTTTGGCAAATGTTGCTCAAGATGCTATGAAGTTGCCGAAATATTACCACAGAGCCACTAGACCACAAACAGAAAAACACAACAAAAGAACCAACAATACAAAACTATTGCAATGCCGGCCACCTATTGCGCAACCTTGGGAAGTGTTGGCAATATTTCCACTAGACAAACGCTTCAAACAAGCAAACAGCAAACACCAAATCCTAGCCCCACCATGTGGTGGTATGCCACATGCAAGGTGTGAGGATGGATTTCATTGAACACCCTGTCTCATTCTGCACCGAGATGTCTCGAGGTACGCTTTGAATATGTGAAAAGCCATCATGTACCAAGTCTTACTTTCATAGTGATGTAAGCCGCTTGCATAAGAACTGTTTCCCAGTATAGAGCCAGCAGTATGACGAAGTTCCCACATGAATCTGTTGCAAAGTGGAGTGGTGTAGAGTGAACTGGTCAATGCATGCTGTGCCTGCAAGAGGGCTGTCAAGACTGTAGTCAATTACATGCCTTGGCAACTAAGCTGCGTCAGTTTCGTATAGCTGATGTATCCATAGGACTTGTTCTTGGTTGTGCGAACACAACATTCTGCCGTGGGCTGGCTGCATCTTCCAAGATCCCCCCCCCCGCACTGATCTGTCCAGCGTCTTGTGATGAGATGGTGCTTGATCAGTGCTCAGCCAGATGATATGTTGAATCCCCATGCTGAAAAGCCCCTTGCAACTGTAACTGTAGCGTGCATGCGACTGCCATCTACCATGGCGAAACGGTTCAGTTCTTGTGCTTTGTGGGACTACACTGCGTCCTATTCGCTAGTTGAATCTCTCGTAAAGGCCAATGAGGCCCTTGCCGCTTGCATGTCGAGGATGCATTCAGTGCATGTGCACAACACGATGCCCTGGGTAAAAAAAGAGATGTATCCCTTTGAGGCTCACTTGATAATGTGCCCTGTATCCCATCTCGCAACGTGGCAATGTAGAATGTATCTAAGTACTGCGTTCTACACATACCCGCAGAAACGTACCTGAGCAAAGCTGTAGCTGCATCAAACGGACCGCTGTTGAAGACCACGCCATGCGATCTCACGGTCTCCGCTCCAGCCACGCACCATCTTCCGCTCATTGTCCAACTTCTAGGCATTGTACTTTACGGTCATGGCCATGTGCATGCTTGTGTTTTTCCGGGGACTGCTTGCGGCGTGTCTAAATCCCGCAAAGAAGAGCAGGCCGTGTCAATGTGACGATCTTTAACATACAGTGCAACTCGTGGTGCGATACTACTGTCGCGTAGTGGGTGGACTTGCTCATGGCCGGCCATTGAGGGCCACCCTGCGCAAGTGCTGTGGGTCCTCTCAGGGGTTGCGCTCAGACTTGATCTTGCACACTGTGGTCATCTTGTTCTTCACAAGTTGTTGTATGAAGAGCTATTTCAGTTCTATGCGTTTTGCCTTCTTTCATGTTGCCTCTTGCATTGTGATGGATTTGCTGAGCCGTGCTGTCGGTATGTATTTTGATGTTTGACATCCTAGGCTTCTCGTACAAAGTGGCTGATGTGAGTCTCTTGTGCTGTCACTCTTCTGATAGAAGTGCCATTGCTCGTGTCCTACTTCCGTAACGAATGGTTGCTCCAAGGAAGTCTATGACTTTTGCTTGAATTGTTGGTCTGTGTAGTCTTGCATGACGCTCAGTTGGCATCCATGCATGTAAGGTGGAAGGAGCGAATGTGTCCAGTTCCTTGTGCCCAGGTACCGTATTAGGCGGTTGAACCTGTCAAGTTGTTTTGCCTGTGACCTTACCAGCTCTTTGGCTCGAAAGCGTATCTGCTTGTGAGTGTCTGTGTGTCAAATCATTGTATCTTGCCTACGAGTCGTCTGGCCTGGTTTTCCTCCTTCAGGTGTGTTGTCCTCTAGCTGGGTTGCGCGTAGTCGTTCAGGATCTTGTCACTTGTCAATGTAGCTTTCCTCCAGATTGATGTCGATGTGATAACCTATGTGTATATGATGTTTCACCCGTGTTTCACAATCTTGTCAAACAACGACTTCCTGTTTGTCACATGAACAGCATGTCATCAACGCATACCGCGTGTGCTGTCGTTGCTCCAAAATGGGCATTGTTTCGAGGCCTAGTGGCGTGAGCACTTTTGTGGTCTTGCCATTGATTTAGGAGGATCTGGATCCGTGAATTGCTTTGAGACGCCAAAGTATGGGCATGTTGTTGCCGTAGAACTCCTTTGGTGGACTCCGCATCTGCGTAGGCATACACCCCCGTTTGCCTGCCCGCCCAATGTCGTTCCTCGACGTAAGTGTTGCAACCTGAGCTTCCGCCCTGGCCAAATTTCTTGCGCAAGTCTAATCTAAACAAGGGAGACTCTGAACCTCAGCCCTAACCCGGAACCCTGAACGTCCCATCCAAAGTCCGGACGCCCCAAAATGCCAAAATCCGACAGATGCCGCATGACTGAGCCAGGAATTCAGAGCCCAGGCCCTGAAGCTAAAAGAATCTGCAAGTCCAAGCGCGTGCTCCCCAAGCATCGACAAGGCTACACGTAGTGTAAGTACCAGTGATTTCAAGCAACACCACGGTCCATGTGGGGTGGTGGCCACATATTTGCTTAGACCAAAACATGTATTCACATATACAGTTTATATATGCATATATATATATATATACATACATATGCATATACGCTGATACTGACATACATATATGCATACATATGGCTGCACACGTGCAACAACAATAGCACACGCACATGCACATTCGCATACGCAAACACATACACATACCACACGCACAGACACACTTAATTGAATATTTTCTCGCGTAAGAGGCCATTGGTGCCATTGTCCCCGGAGGTGCTGGCACATATATAGAGATGTTGTGGGGAGTTTCTCATACACGTAGCACACACACTGGCATACACACACACAGACAAATACATGCATGCATGCATAAATGGCTGTGGCTCAAAATTAATCAGCTAGGGCAAACCGCAGGTTTTAGTCTACCTTTCCATTTACCAAGGGGCCATTTTGGGGATTCCATTTTCCGAGCCGCAGCCACATAGGCATGGGAAGTTTTCTGGGGCCACGTTCTTCAGGCTCAGGCGGCGCTGACCGCCCCGCCTCCTCCGCCGGGCGGGCGCACGCTGCGTGGAGCTCGATCTGGTGTGTGGGAGTGCCGTCGTTTGTAAGGAAAGCCAAACGGAAAGCTCTTGTGGCATTTTGGTTTGGATCCCTTACAAACAAGGCAAGGTAGTATTTGTTTTGCGTTTTCGGGGCTTAAAAGGAAATTGTTTGACTGTTTTGCTTGCGATTGAAAAAGGCACCACCTTTTGCGATTTGGGGCAAGGCGATCACAATGCACCGCCTGTATTTTTTTTACTCTCTCTCTCTCTCTCGCTCGACCCAAGATGTTTGATGGATCTCGCATGACACGCAGCACTTTCGCTTGCAGGGAACCAGTCGTCAGTGGCCAACCTAGGCCAACGGAACATTGGGCCCTTGGTGAAACGCCGTTCAGATTTTGTGCTCTTGTTGTTCGTTTGAGTCATGCTCAATCTTGGACACCGAACACCCTCTCTCCACCTGAGGCATAGTTTTTCCATTTTGGTTTGGGCCACCGAGTGCTCGGCAAGCCATCCCAGAACTTCATTGCTTAGCCACTGGAGGTAGAAGCCATCGCGCAGCGAGGCAAAGGCAATGCCAGGTCCGAGCGCCGATGCTGAGGTCGAATCCTTCTTTGCCTGGCCTTCGGGCAGTTGAGGGTGCAAGCCCAGGCAGGGGGGGACCAGGAGACGCGTGAGGACGTGAGGTCGCGGAGAAAGCCGTAATTTCCAAGCCATCTGCGCCAGACTTGTTTGTGTGAGCCCAAGAAACACATTTTTTGGATGTGTTAAAGTCAGGGTCCCCCGATCGGCTGATTGTGTCTTCGCTGCGTAGAAAATTCCGACCCGCGATGCAATCGAGTGCCAGGCGTGCCGGGCATGGATCGGGAGGCGCTGCCGAACATGCCGGGAATTGTGGCGGAGGCACAGCACCAGGCAGGGAGGAAGAGCTCGGCTCCACCAGTGGCTGAGTCTTCTCAGTTGAGCAGCGCCATAAACCCTGACAATACAAAGTAGTACAGGGGGGTGTCCTATAGGATCCCCGCGAAAACCAACTGTTGCTTTGGTCGGCTTGATCGGTTTGGTTTGCTTGACTTCTTTTTCCTCATTGCCGACTTCCGCCTGGGAATAGCGTGTTTCACGCCTCGGCGAAGACTTTTTTGCTTTGCTCGCAAGGTTCGCGAGCCCCGGAAGATAGCTTCGTTTTCACAGCCAGGCAGCGGACGAAGCGGAGGAGGTGCGGGCGAATCTGTGGTTGGTTTCGCGAACTCCACTTCTCGCACCACAAGGATTAGACAACGGTTTATGATTCGATTCCCCTGCAAATACTAACACACCATGTTTTAGCCTTGGTTTCAAAGTGTCGACAGTATGTCCGCCTTTGGGACAGTTTGGGACAGTCCCGCTTGCAAGAAGCATGAGACGTGTATGCATCCCCAGTGTAGCTTATTCCACCAACTCCCACTGTTTTCGGTGAGAAAGTGTTAGACATCTTGTGGACTTGTGGCCTGTGTAGAGGGCCAAAATACTTTACAACTAGCCACAGCCTCTGGCCTCGCCTTTGCTTGCGCAAAACACCCGCGAAGGGGGGGAGTCATCAGTCTACAGGATATGGCAGAGCCAGCGTGCGCTCCTTACGTGTCAGCGCACGCACGTAGTAGGAGGATTTGTTTACAGGTGTTTGCCCGACTTGACCATGGTGTTTATTTGGCTCAAGAAATGGAGCGCTAGCGTCTTCTGCAGCCATTTGGGAGCAGGGTTAGTAATTCTTCGGTCCCCATTTCCTAGTGCGTTTCTTCCCTGTTGGGGCAACCCGCCCCGAACAAACCCCTGCACGCAATTTTGAGCCCCTCCCAAAACAACCAACCTCAACACTACCCAAAACTTGGCGTACACCAAACTGACCCACCCACTAGCGGTAAACCGCTCTGCAACCTGGGCCAATTCTAAAGCAAGCCGAACCTCACCGGGAAACACAACCCTAGTTTTTTTTAAACCGGGGGGGTCCACTTCTGGGTGAAAAGCGGTTGGAATCAGACCATTTTTGAAGGGGCCAAAAACCCCCGCCCTATGAAATAGAAACTGGGGTTGACCTCTGGTTGCATGTTTCACACCTCTATGAGGAGGTATCAACGTGTTCCTTTTCTTGCATGTTTGCTTCGTCCAACTGGGGTTGATTAAGGGTCAAGACTTGAACTGGGCAGAAAACCAAAGCACGAATGCAGGCCGCGGGCACCGCCCGGCGCTTGCAGCCGGAAGCATCGCCGGGGCCTTGGGTTTGTTGGATTCAGACTTCAATCAGCTTGATTTGCATCCTTTTGCGGTACCCTTTTTTGTGAGAAGCCAAAGGTAAACCACCATATTGGAGGTACTAACTCCAAAAAAAGGGGGCCAAATTTCGTAGGACTTGGTTTGATACGGATCGCGGCCATGGTCGCCCTTCAATTGTCCATTCCATTGTGTTCCTTTTATAATCTTTTATATATAGAAATGATTAGAAATGGATATGTAAGTTTTGCGTTTTCTCGTTTTTCTGTCTTTAAGCTCTTTCTATATGCCGGCAAGAGGGAAGAAATTCGGTGGCTCAGCTCCTGAAGGCCGCTCCGCGCGGCTTAGGCATGGCATGGCGCCAGGCCAACCGCCGCTGCCGGAGCCTTGCGGTGTGGGACATGAGGAAAGCATTGCCCGAGGATTACAGGGGCATGGTACTTCGTGGTTAAGCCGGGCCGTGGTTCATCTTAAAGCTGTTCGAACAAGGGAACTTCAAAATTCCAGTTTTGGGGGGATGGTTGAAAAGGAAGCCATTGAAGTGATCGACATATTTGGCAGCCCTGACCTTGGCAGAAGAGTATCCTCGGGATGACTTTGAGGGCTTCGGATGGTTTGAGGAGCAAAGTTAGCCAATGCGCCAGCTGAGGCCGCCACTCAGTGGGCCTCCGCCGCCTCCAAAGGGAGCTCGCACGCCTACAGGCCGGCGAGGTTTCCGCGAAGAGCTGGCTGGTTTCGGCGCTTGGGTTCCGGAGGCGCCGAAAACCAGAGTTGTTTTGGATCTTGGAGCTTTCGCGGATACGGGTCTGTCTTTTGTTAGGGAGCCCCTTCTTTGGTTTTAAGGTGCAAACCCAAAGGAAACCAAGCATTCTTAGGGGCCCGCCTATCGGGACACACCCACTAGTTTTGAGTACCTCGTCAAAGCGCTGTGCTTGGGGGCCTTCAGGTGGCATGACGCCGACGGGTGGCGCGACCCCGATGGGCCACACGCCAGCTGGGCCAGAGGGGCTCAGTGCCCACGTGCCAGGATCCGGGGTGGAACCTCAAAGGTGTGTTGGCATTTTTCAAGGGACCCTAAACGGATTTGACAAACAGGGTCCAGCTGGCATTCAATAGAATCGTGTGTTGAGTCTTCCCTTGCCCCCATTATGGCCCTTTCTATGGACAGAAGGTTTTGGAAGTCTTCCAAGATGGGTTCCTCACTTGCTAGATTTAGAGTTTGTTTGCTTCAATTTGAGTCAAGTCAGAGAAAATACTACTGTGTCGCAGTCGGTTCCGACCATGGCCGGACATTGAAAGAAACCAATAGAAACCAGCAAGATTGTGGCACACACCTGAATGGAGTTGCAAGATTCTACATAGTTCTGGGGCATGGCGACTTGAACCATTTTGAGTCTTGCTGATCCCCAACGATTAGCAGGTTTAGGAAACGCCGGAGTTCGTGGATACTCGTGAGCGTGAATTGTGGCCAGACGCGAGAGCTGGCAAGAGCAGCACCGCGCTTCCGCACATAGCTTCTTTTTTTGCGAGCTCTGGCGCTGCAGCTCTCCTTGGCACTTCTTTTGACACTCCAGGGCTGCTGTTTGGTCCCCGCCATCCCCTTCCATGAAACTCCCACTGTGACCATTTTGCGATTCACAGATCAGAGAACGGACAGAGGTTCGAGAGAGGCCAAGTGATCCGAACGGAAACAGACTTGATTGTTAGGTTTTGAGAGTTGAGTGGGCAGTTTCCCATGAAACCCACCATCCAATCGCATTCGGTTTTGATCCATCGATCGATGGGCAACGCTGAGGTCCACCTACAACACGCCCCGGACGCCCCCGCCGCTCTCTGCGAACACACCTGGCACTGGGGACTTCCTGCCTCCGGTGTGCTGGCTGGAATTCGGGGGGTGGGAAGCGCAACAATGAGTCCAGAGCGGGGGAGCAACCTGCAAGCTTTGTAGTAGCAGGGCAACTTTGATGGGGCCGACGGCCGTGATGAAAGTGAGTAAATGTTGCCTGGTGCTTTGAAGGGGAAACCAAAAGGACACCAACCACTGTTGGGTTCCCTACCCTCCCACCAATCAACATGGAAACCTATATGAGATCCCTTTGAAAGGAAGATGGTCCAAACCAGGACCCCCGAAAACGTCGAACGGTT